ACAAATTTGAATAATTATTCGGACCTTTGTATCTAACTTACGGTAAACTCTGCTTATTTTTGGAGGTTACAACTCTGTAAATCATATTATACTAATATTAATCAGATATTGGAAGTAAGACACAATGCTTGAGTTATGTTATACAAATAAATCTTAATTTAGTACTAGTTTATTGAGAAGTTTACAAATATTAATATATAGCCATAATGTAGTATAATTAGAGTTAGAATCCTTAGCTTCACTTTTATAATCTGTATTAGCTGTATCTTTATTTTTAATTAGTTCATCAGTTTCTTCAAATAGTTTATTTAATCTGTTATTATCCTCTAATTCTTTATAGATATAATTTAAATAAGTGTTTAGAATATTTGATATTATAAATCGAGTATTTTGTAGCAATTGAATATTTTGCGATAATTAAGTATTTTGTAGCAATTGATTATTTAATGAGTTTTGTACTGATAGATCAAATTGCAGATATTGTTGAGATAGATAGATTTGCAAGTAATAGTTTACAAATTAGTGAATATTATTATCACTTATTTCAAAATTATAGAAAATAAAAAAAATTATTTACAATTTTTATATATTCATAAATAATAAATTAGATATACCCACTTTTCATATCAAAATAATATATATTGTTAATTAACTTGATACGTGATAGTAGAAGAAGTTTACATCAATAATAGAGATAGTGATTGATCAAATTTTTTTATTTAATATATAAACTGATAAAATATAATATTCAATAGAAATAAAAATAGTAAATAGTCAATAATAGAGTTAATAATAATATTATTACTTTATAATTGCATGCAAATTTAATACAAAAAAAAAAAAAAAATAGATTTTAATTATTTAGAATTGGCTAGACTCACAAGTTAGCTAACTAAAATAATCTATGTTTTTATCTTATTGACTTCTTTAAATTTACTAGATAACTCATTATTATAATAACTTTGAGTCTATACATATAATTAATTATTCAAATTTCTTGATTAATTGAATCTTCATTTTAATAAATATATATTTGCATTTTAAATTATGAAATCTGTTACTAGAAAACACAATTTATAGTTTTTTAATTGCTAGAATTTAGATAACTTAATACTATATATTATAAATTTTGTAGTTATAAGCTTGTATAATTTATAATTCTTAACACTCTTATATAGTGATAGTACTTGTACAAGAGTTACTCAGGTAACCTGTATAAGATACGTTAACTAGGTCAACTTACTGCTACTCAGATAATCAGATTAATTAGTGAAAATAAATATTCATCAGATTGGCTAGATGATTTAATTGTATGAAGAAATAGTTAAATAATTTTAACAAACTCAGCTTCGAAAAGCAATATACAAATCAATTATTTTATAAATATAATAATCATTAGATCATTTCCTCATACATTGCTAAGCTAATTAAATATAGTATTCAGGAGTTCTAGAAGCAAATTCTGGTCATAATTTATAATTAATCTCAATTGCAAGTTTAATATTAGAATTACGTCTATCAAAAGCCTTTAGTTAATATCTTAGCTATCATAATACTAAAGCTATAAATATTAACTATTTGTATAAATTCATATAACTTTTTTAGATTTGTAATATAGCTTTGCATAATTG